AAAAAAAAAAAAATGAATTGCAAGATGAAGATGAAATTCATCATAAACAGAAAGCTCAGTTGTTATTTAAATTTTGCGTTTATTATGGCGGCAAATCAGCTGATAATAACACAAAGTTCAAAATCCATGATACACTTTCCAGTAACAACACCTCTTCAAGGGCAGCACATTATCATAGTATCAGCAAACCTACTACAACAATATTCACAGATAAAACGAAAACAGAGCCGCAAATGACCTGCAAAGTCGAACGCGCATAGTTACTCTTACAACAATTATACATTTGCACTTGCACCGCATCCATACTCAACAGTACTCCGAAAGAAAGAACGTTTTAAGGCTCATCAGTAATTCACGGCTTTTCACTCACTTCACTTACAAGTTGCTGGTACAAATTGTCCGCCCAACTAGTGTATCTTGCCTTTTCTTTTTAAGTCCTTTTTACCTGGAAGATCCAAAGAGGCCAGTTAGAAATAATAAATAAATCAAAAATTTATTTTACTGAGAGCGCCAAATAAAAAGTGCCCATATTGTGGTGGATAAAGGCAAAGTCAGAACTCCAATGCACACGTATATGATGTATTGGATGAAAAGAGCTCATCTGAAAAGGTAAGATTAACAGAAGACGGTATACAAGAAGCAAAACTGTTCTAAAGCTTATAGAAGGCAACTGGGAAGAGAGAAATCCTGTATAGAAGCTTATTAAATTGAACAACATAACATGCGTCCGAGTACTGATTGATTGAAAAATCTAAAAACACGCAAGACAAAATTCAATAAATTCACTCGAAAATCAGGGAAGCGAATGCCACTCAGACGNAAAAAAAAAAAAAAAAGAATTCTCCAACTAGCTTCCAGGGAAGCGAATGATAAGAAAAGAAACCCATGCAGTTCAAAGGTGAGAATACCGCTGGGAAAAGGTATATTTAATGTGAAAGAATGTAATAATAGGAACGATGGCAAAGCACAGGGGATAGCTTTAGTGGTTACAGAATCAGGATAACGTTCTATTAACACTGGAAAAAAACTAATAGGCAAGATAGATAATATACTACATTTACATCATTCTCAAAGTCAAATCTGTCATAAGAAATCCTCTGCAGCGTATAACATAATATTTTGCATATGTAAGGATGATATGTGCAAATCTTAAGTTAAAAAATGCCCGCCATAGAGAAACTCATAGTTTGAAGGTAATAATCACAGTAATTCAACACTCATGAAAATCATTAGCACATAGGAATAAATTAGTTTAAATAGATATAACAGTAATACATAATACAAAATATTACGCTGCCCACAACATTCCTAAAGCAATGTTACACACACAGATCTCCAAATGTTTGAAAAAAAGGATAGACAGCAGCACCAGTACCTAAAAAACTCAGCCTTCGGCACTCATCAGAAGGAGTTCATTTCAAGGCAATAAGTCCTCCTCTTCACCAACATCCTCACAGCAGTCCCAAATGGCTCCTCAAAGACCGATGCAACCCAATTCCCCTCTGAGCCCACCAACTCCTTCTTGGGCTGCTCGCTGGGCCTAATCGCAACCAAAGTAGCCCCTTTTAATACCAAACCGTTCGGCAACTCGAGATGGGATGCATACCACAACCGCATATTCAAAGCCGGCACAAGAGTCCTTTTCGATGCTGAAGATGCTGATAAGGGCTTCACTCTAAGCTCTTCCAATTGCTCTTTGTTCATAGACAAAACCCCCTGCCCATCAGCATCTGTTAATACCAAATTCTCCAATGTCTTGTGCTCAGCTATAATTGGCTGCAGCAGATAATGCCTAGCTGAGGCAGCTATTAAGGAGCTTATAGTCCATACAACTCGCAATTTTAACCCTCCGTTTGTGTAAAACGATTCGGGTATGCTCCCATTATCATCTTCTACCCCATTGTTAATATTGTTGTTGTTGTTGTTGTTGTTAACACAGTCATTACTATTACAATTACTCATAGACTCAAAATCCATACCCATGTTCTGAACCACACTGGAGGCTCCAAGAATAATGCAGCTATCAAGAGTCGAACCAAAGTTAGCCTTCCACTTAAGCAAAACACCGTCATCAATACCTAATTCTCCACTCGGGAGCTCTATTCTGAGAAGCTTGATCTCGTTGAAATTCTTCAATACCTGAGTAGGCGAATGGTGGGTGACGCTGCTGCTCGGCTCCGCCTCGCAGTCGAAATCCTCAGGCAGAGTCACGCTGCGGGGCGAATGGGCGATTAGCTGTGTCAGGGACTGCAAGGGCTTGAGGAGTCCGGAGAAGAGGACGCGGAAGAGGGAGGATATCGGGTGGCGCGACCTGTCGGAGCCTCCGGAGGCGGCGGCGGACGAGGAGGTCGCCGATGGGTCGTCGTCTGAGATGACGCAGTCCACTCGGACCACGACGTTGTCGACCTGGTGAACGAGATCGTGGAATCGCCTCGAAACGACGCAGCAGCGGCCGAGGGCCTTGACATCGCCGATCTGGTTGAAGATCAGGAGGATTATGGAGTCCGGCAGCCGGTCGAAATGGTCGATGGGCTCCGGGAAGATTCTTCCTCTCAGATCCGGACGAATCGAACCCATTTTGTCAAAAAAAAAAAAAAAAATCTGTTGCAGCACGAATCGAAAAGGTGTTTTAGGTGCAAAATACTCTTCAGGTAGGGAACAAGGCCGGGTTCAACAAACTGCCATGGATCTGAAAGATGGAAAATCTATGGGAGATTGAATTGTGTTGGAATTTATGCAGAGATTTGGTGCTCTGTGAGGAAAGTGATAAGTCGATGTGAAAAATGGGTGGACTGTGGAGGATAAATGATAGCTCGATTATGAATAGTATCTGTTTATTTATTGAATTAAGGGGGGTTTATTAGTAAAATGAATTCTTAATTTAGCCACAAAAATTATTTAAAAAAAAAAAAAAAAAGTGGCTAGTGAGGTCGGTATGGCTTATTTATTTCGAACTCGTTTAGTTAACGAGTCAAATTGAGTTTGATTTGTTGATTCAAGTGTAAAAATTTTAATGTAATTTTCTAATACTCGGGTTGGTAAGTTATCAGTTCGGCTCGTTAATATTTCAAACTTATTTATTGGTCAGTATAGTTAATCGAGTTTAGCCACATATCTATTTTTTTTGTGTATTTCTATGTTTATATTTGGGTAACTAATTATAGCTCTTGTAAATTGCATGACCACACTTAATATTTAGGCTAAATACAATTAAATTATAATATTTTGTTCATTACTAATTTAAATCTAACATTTCAATTTTGGCAATGAAAAGTATGATTTTTTTTTTTTTTTTTTTTTTGCAACTCGAATTGCATAGTCGACAGATCAGACGCCAGATGCTTACGTGTCTGGCTCGTTATCTGACGAATAGAAAAAAGACAAAATGTGTATCAGAAATGAAAAACAAAGAAAAAAAAAGTAATAAGGAAACTAGTGTTGTTCTTATTTCCTACACATAAAAAATTGAAAAAACTTCATTATTTAACATTGTGTAAAACCCAAATACTTTTTCTTTTAATTCACAATTATGTGTGTAAAAGGTATATTTGTGACTAATAGACACAATGAACAAGTCAACCAAGAAAACACTTTTTGACACCAAAGGCAAAAAAAGACAAGTGCCATTGCTTAGATTTTACTCTTGTGTTTTAGTGTTAAGTAAATAAAATAATTGCTTTGGGATCTTGATTTGTTACTATTATGCTGCCAATCTTGTATTTACATCAAAAAATTTCTTTTTAATTACATAAATTACTTAAAAAATTTTATTTTATATCATAAATATTGCTCTATTAGTTTGTCTAATGATTAGATAAAGTTTTCGTAAAGAAGTATAGTATGATCGTCTGTCTGATCATATCATTATATATAGTAACCAAAATAAAAACGGACGAAAATTTGATTTTGATTTTTTTTTCAGTTTTCATTGGAAAAAATATTGTAAAATATCAATTTGCAACATTACTAACTGAATAATAATGGGTGAAAATTCTCATATTTAATCAAAAAATAAGATCTTTAAGTAGTACAATTATATCAAATTACATCATATCACATGGTTTATTGGAAAATGAAAAGGAATTAAAAAATAAAAATAAAATAAATTAAGTGTGTAATAATAATGGCAATGTAGGGTCTGCAGGTATCAATTATCATGTGAAATATAATTTGTGTAAGCATTTAGATCTGAGATAATTTTTTTTAATCCAAGTAAAGATAAAACCATGCTCGTGTTTATTTATTTATACACATATATTTATTATTATTATTATTTTTTTTTTTGGTTCATTATATTATTATTTTTTTTTCTTCAGAAAAATCCAAATATTTCACATATTTCCAAGCACGAATGGTGGAGGAGTATCCTATGAGGACATGCCGTGCAATCCGTACCTAAATTAGAATCAAACATTGCATGAAAAACATCAAATCTACATTTTAAACAGTTATTTGTTTTATTTTTTTCTAATGGTATATAATATAAATGGATAGTTGCTTGATTTTTCCAAATAAAAATTCATAGAATTAACATTAAGGAGAGTGTATTCAATTGAGATTTTTAAAGATTTTTTAAAACATTTTAAATTTGATGACTTTTGTGGACTTTGTAGAACTTTCATGACTTTGGTGGACTTTTTAAGACTTTTAGAGAATTTTCATCGGTGACTTTTGAAGACTTTCATAATGGACTTTTTAAAACTTATTGAGACTTTTATATACTTGCAGTTATAATATTATGTTTGAATATTAATAAACGTAACATAATAATTAATATAAACAAGAAAAATGAAAAAACAAAAAGATGTATATTTTAATCCTCTAAAAATTTATGAATAAACTCATTTTTATGCGAAATGAGTTATTCACGAACAAATTGTTTAGGATTTTAGATTTATTAAACGAGTAAATCGATCCGAGCTTCAACGAATCGAATCGAGCAGAGCCTTACATTTGTTTGCTAAAAGAGTACAAGGTCAAATATGTGTTAGACATCTCTACTATAACGACACTTATAATCAACTCAAATTAAGATATATTTATTTAATTATTTATTGAATTTTTTTTTTTTTTTT